AAAGGTCAACCGTGAACTAAATAAACGGAAGGAGGGGTTGGGTTACGAAGAGGAAGAGGAGGGGGAGGGGGGTGCGTAGGTGTGAAAGGAGGGAGGCGACTGCGCTTATAATTGGGTATGAAACCCTAATATCACTTGAAACCAAACCGAACTTAATAATATCGGGTCGGTTTGGTTTCCTTCACCCCTAGTTAAAATACAAAGGCATTGTGTTATAATATCATGTTAAATCACCAAAATAAGTAAATAAATAATTTAAGCTGATGGGTTAGGATAAATTTAATAATTTATGGGTATCTAAAAATTTCAATTGTGTTCAATTCCTTCCAATAATTCACTCCTACAAATATTCATTATACGCGTCAACCTATCATGAATAGCATAAAAATTAACCGAGAATTTAATTATAAATCTTATGAAATATAGTTTATGTAGTGTCTTATTAATAGCGAATATTGATAACCAATAGACAATCACTCTCCAAGCAACATTAATTTTCATTTTTGAACACACCCCACATGAGTGATTATAGCCACGTGAATTTTCATAAACTGTTTTAACAATAAAATTGTTTATAAGGAAAATATTGGAATGAATTTTAAAGTTAAGAATAGAAATGAAAATTCTTAATTTTAAACCATAAGATGTATAATTGAAACTATCTCCATATTTCATAAAATTTTTAATAATTTAACCTTAATTAAACTAGTGTATTAAGAGTCAGACGGATGCAAAGAAAATGTACCTTTTTTCCCACATCTAACTCCATGTGGGAGTTAAAACCAATTCTATTAATTTTCACAATTTCTACCATTTTTTAAAAAATTAAATCGACAACGAAATTTTTATAAAATCAAAACTTCGATGTCTTCTTCTAAACCACATTTGAAACCTTTAATTAAATTAGTAACAATTAAAGTAGTAATAGATAGTGTAGCATTTTAAACCTGGGCGCTACTATATGTCTGATGTTGGGAGGATGGAAGGCCAACCTGTTCAAGTAGCGTCGAAAACCCAACCTGGCAGGTTGGAGTCAGTACTTAGACGCAGATGAAAATGTCCAAAATATCCATCTCGATGCAAGGGAGAATCTGATGAGCGCATAAACCGATAGTCCTTTGTGATGATCCCAACGTGAGTAAGGAAGTATCCTGATGGCATAGGTATCTACGTCTTTGACCATTATAAATACACCACTCATTCACCAATCCAGGTATAGAAATCCGTCTGAAGCTAATCCGTCTAAACTCAAATTTCAAACTAACTTTAGCGTCGGAGTGACCTACCTATTTTTACAAGTCCTCTAATGAAGCTCGCTGCAAGTGACTCACACCAACCTCACACAGGTCGCACACTGTCACTTCATGACTTAGGCAAATTTTGGCCTCAACATCTTATCAGTGTCAGCTTTTTCACTACCATCTGCATAAATTTGTTCAATAATTCATGTATCTATTCTGTAGATATTTTTTTGATCGTGTGGTTGGTTTGTCAAATCTTAGCTGGAAAATTGTTTTTATCGACAAGGCCACGGGACATGTTGCACATTAAATTATTGAATAAAAATTCACCATTCCCCCATCTCATTGTAATCTAGGGTATTAAATATTTTTCAAAATATCTATATTTTCACGGACATTTCTATCCATCCATGAGTTCGACATCAAAAAGGAGGAAATTGACATTTCTATAGTTTTACAAAAAGATCGACAAGATATGAAAAATATGAATAAAATATCAATAATTTAGACATAATATTAGTATTAACAATTTTTATTTTCAAATTTATTTGGAAAGGTTGAATGTTTATGTGTGAATTTCAATATTATTTATGGATTTTATTGATATTTTTATCGATGTTTCTATGAAATTGAGATTTGGCATTTTCATCCAAATATATTTAAAATCTTGCTTTAATCCAACAGGGCAAACGTCGGAATTATATATATATTTTTTCTTTTCATTCTCTCTCAGTTTATAACATTAAAAATATTGTACGATGGTTCAAACTTTCCAAGTTATAAAATAAGGTTTATGATACCTTGATTCGTTCAGTTGTGCCGACCATTCTTTTTCTTTCTTTCTTTTCTTATTTTTATTGGATTACCAATATAGAAAAGCTAGGTAATTATTCTTTTTGTGTTGCCTTTTTCAGTACAACGTTTTGTTTAGGCTTTATCATTTTGCAATCTTAAAATTTGACTTTTTTTTTTCCTTTTATGGTTTTCGCAAAAGGCTAAAATATTGGACCTAAAATTGGTGCATTAGTTAAAATAAAAAGTCCTTTTTGAAAAATGTTATTTAGTTCAAGGTATTGTAAATATGTCTTCAAGAACTCAACTAACTCATGCAAGGCTATAAATGCTTTTACATTTTTATTCCTGTTTACCTTTTTTTAGTTCAATAGTGTCGGGTGGGATTTGATCATCTGATCTTAAGGACGAGATATGATTTCTTACCTAACTGAGCTGTTATGATGAATAACAAGATATTTATTGTTACTTTTTATGTGAGCTACATGGGGTGTAACTCTTTATCTATTTACCAAGTAACTTGATTCTAATCAATTTTTCGCACTTATAAATTTTGGTTGCTTTTTTCTGTCTATCATTACATTTTAATTTTGTCACGCTTTGGTGATCAAATTTTGTAATTAGTATTGTTGGGGGAAAAATACAATATGACACGTGAACCAATCAACTCATCTCGGTAAGGTTAAATTCGCTCAACCAGCCAAAGGGAGAAGACCGACCTACCATATAGGTCAAGTTGAAGGCCAAACCAACTAGAGAATTGCCAAAGTTCTCTCCAACCGAACTGAGGAAGCCTACCTCAGACCTGATAGTCGACTTGGGGCCTGATAGCCCAAAATCACCGATTAGGGCGGTTCCAATGGCCTTGTCCCCCTCCCTCCGTCACTTGAAAAAGGAACACTAGTCCGCTCACTCAGGTATGCAATTCTATCTAACTACGACCTACAGTAGTTTGCGAACCATTACTGACTTGAGCTTTGGAGTGTTTGTTTCCTCTGTGCAAGTCACTCCTCATGCAGCCACTCCTTCTTAGCTCGCTCCAGTTCGATGCATGTTGATCTACCCAACTCGACAAGATTTAGCATTAATGTTTGGCACCGTCTGTGAGAAGTGACATAAATAAAGCTCTTGTTCTTTGTGATAGCTGAAGATTCCTCAAGGTTCAAGCAACCATAATCCAGGACACCCGAAGAATATGCCAACAACGATAGACTAGAGAAGGAAGCTCCCGGAACTCCAAAGCCTACTAAGCTAATAGCCCGAGCAGAAACAAAAATGACTCACATAGCCCAGATGCACGTGCAGATAGATCCATGACACAAACCTTACTGAATGTCGGGGTGCCACTCCCCGAGCTTCCCAAGCCTGAGATCCCTCGTAATCTAATGAAAGGCAAGCAGAAGATGGACGACCATCCCACCAAAAAGGGAACTCACCGACCTGTCGAGAAGCTGGTTCTCAGGGGCAATGACACACCTCGACCAGAAAAAGATCTCTGATCGATTCTCTCTACCTAACCTTCCCAGAGAGAAGATGAAGATTTATGAGACAAGATCATCTAGAATCGAGCTCAAAGACAAGATGAGCTCGAGAAGAAACATCCGGAGGAATCTGTAGATAATCTAAGCCTATAAATGCAATTTGACCAACTGAAGAGAGAGCTGGTCAACGAGATCAAAGGCGACCTGAGAAGGCCAAATACAAGCTTACTTCTGACTAGACAAGCCTGAAGAACCACCATTCGTTCAGGCCATCCTCGACCTGTCGATCCCGTCGATGTGTTGTTTGCCGACTTTCGACGAGTATGACGGCTCAACCGATCTAGGGATCACACGGAGACCTTCGAGTCCATCATGGGCTTCCACACATAATTTGATGCAATGAAGTGTAGGGCATTCTCCATCACCCTGCAAGAAAATGATATAGGTTGTTCACGCTTTAATTCCATCTCGACCTGAAAGAAGTTGCGATAAGATTTCATAGCCCAATTTGCAGCTCACCAGGACACCAAGCACTCCGACACTTATCTGCTCTCCATCAAGTAAAAAACCAAAGGAATCCTTGTGCAACTACATCAAAAGTTTCCTTGCCAAGCATATTAAGATGGAGAATTGCACCGACATCTTCTCCCGAATAGCGTTTGTCAATGGGGTAACTCATGAGAAGCTAAGCTAGTCCTTAGCAAAGAAGATCGAGCCCACCCTAAAAGGCTACAGTGAACAAACTAGAAAGTTTATCAAGGTCGTGGGCATTATCCAACCAAAGGACGACAAGTCCTACAGGCATAGCTAGCTGCCAAAGTCCAAAGACAAAGACAGAAAGGACAACAGGTCCAGCTCTTTTCGCCGACCAGACAATGATCAATATAACGAGCAGAGATTAGAGCGACTTGAGAGGTACAACAAGTTCACACCTCTCAATGTCTCAATTGCCAAGATCTTGGCAAACATCTAAGACTCCAAGCTCGAGGAAGGATCCAAACCCCCTATGCAAGGATCCAAACAAACGTGATAGGTCGAAATATTGCCGCTTCCACCAAGACTAGGTCACCATACCTCCAACTGTTACAACCTGAAAGATTGATGGCTTTATCCAATAAGGCTACTTCAAGAAGTATGTGGGTAAGAAAGACTAAGGTAGTAGCTCGAAGGGTTCAGGAAGCAAAAGAGAAGAGAAAAGTGAGAGGTCGAGGACCCTCCCAAACGTGAAGACAGACCTCACAGTGAAACACGATCCACGGAGGACCGAGTGGGGGCCAATCTGACCACAAGCAAAATAAGGTGACTCGCGAAGCTCGGAGGAGATCTGTGTCCTACAAACCAAGCTAGAAAGCTAACCCAGTTACCTTA